AGGCTGACCGGCCTGTAGTTCCCTGGGTCCTCCTTCTTGCCCTTTTTGAAGATTGGAGTGACATTGTCTCTTCTCCAGTCTTCGGGCACCTCTCCTGTCCTCCAGGACCTGTCAAAGATGATGGAGAGCCTTGGGAAACTGTGCTGGGTTGGTGGTTTGTGTTTGGTTTGGTTTTTTTTTGTGATCCCTCCACCCAGCTTATTTGTCAGTCATAAAGTGAACCTGGTATTTGTCTCTTACTACTCATTTTCAGTAAGATGCACATTGTGACCTGCAGTTTTGGTCTCTGGTCTTTGTGCCATGGTCAGGGCTTTGGTAACTTTGAATCTTGATCTTTAAATACATATTTTGCGTATGAAAATACTTAAGAGATTTTTTTTTTCCTCTCAGCAGGTGGGAAGGAGAAACCAAAAACCAATGCTGAAGAGCTACAAATTAAAAAAGTGAAGAAGAAAAAGAAAAAGAAACATAAAGAGAATGAGAAGAGGAAGCGCCCGAAAATGTACAGCAAATCCATTCAGACCATCTGCTCAGGATTGGTTTCCGATATTGAGGATCAGGAAGCCACAGGCATCATAGATCATCATCTTAAGGATTTCAATGGGAAAAATATGGATCCCAAGAAGGACTGTGAGTCCAAGATACCAGAGAACAGTGAGTTTCCATTTGTCTCGTTAAAGGAGCCACGGGTTCAAAATAAACTCAAAAGGTTGGACACATTGGAGTTCAAACAGCTGATTCATATTGAGCACCAGCCTAACGGAGGTGCATCAGTTATCCATGCCTACAGTAATGAACTCTCCCACTTATCTCCTGTGGAGATGGAGAGATTTGCAGAAGAGTTTGTGGGTCTGGTTTTTAGTGAAAATGAAAACTGTGCAGCTTACTATGTAATGGGTATTGTTCATGGGGCAGCTACTTATTTACCTGACTTTTTAGACTACTTTTCGTTTAATTTTCCCAATTCACCAGTGAAAATGGAGATTTTGGGAAAGAAAGATATAGAGACAACGACTATGTCAAATTTTCATGCTCAGGTAAGAGGTTATACATTTTACTTTCTAAAGTCATGTAATGGTTTCAAACAACTGTGGGTGTTTTTTTTTATTTTTTTTAGAATACAGTTACTATTAGCTGTGCTGTGTGGATGACGCGGAAGACTAGAAACAAGGGAATTCTTTACGTTAGTTCTGCAGTATTAAAGATAAGGAGCCTGTTAACTGAAACGTGAAGTTGGATTTTGTGGGGGAGGGGAAGTGTTTGCATGCATGTGTGTGTAGGTTTCTTTGGATGTGTTTCTGTAGCTGAAGATTAACACTGAGTTTGGGAGTTTAAAGTGATATAGCTGTCTGGGTGTCTGAACTGTAGTTTATCTGTATGACCCTCTTCAGCAAACTGAAATGCTTTAATACATTACAATAATATTGTACATAAAACCTGTGTAGGGCACCTGTGTTAAACAGCTTCATTTGTAGTTTAAGGCTTTTGAATCCATTCTTAAAGGAGAACATAATGGTGGTTAATGTAGCTACTAATTTGATCCTTACCTCTTTGCATTTCCCCCCAGTTAGCTGTATTCTCTTGAAAGGTGTTAAGTTACGTGGCAAAACGGCAGGCAGCTTTTGAATCTCTTTCTTTTTTAGTTTTTCAGAGACAAATGACTATATACTCTTAACAACAGCTACCTCTGCTATTTATTAACTTGCTGTAGAAGAGACATTACAATTGGATATAAATTACTTATATTTCAGGCCTGTTTAGTTCAGGGAGAAATAAAAATTCTAACTTTTTTAAATTGCTACCTTGGTTATGAGCGAATTACGTAAAGCCCATACAGATATTCTGAAACTGTTTATGAGGAAACTCGGTGCTGTTTTTCATTACATGAACTTTAGCTCACAATAGCTTGTTTAACTACCTGTTTGTTAATTTAGATGTTGTATGGAACATGTTTAAACTATTTTAGTCTTCACTTTTTAGACAGTTATGGTGAGTTCAAGTGTAAATTATACTGTCATCTTTTTGATGAAATACATGCTTTTGTTTTCTGTGGCTATGTAAACATTTGCATGGACACCTTTGCATTTGTTGACAAATTTCAGGTGTCTGTTATCCACAAGGATGTGCAGAACTGAAATGTTGCTCTAAGAGACCATTTGCGGTGCTGGTTAAGAAAACATCCACTGCCATGGAATACGAATATTCTATGAAATGTGTTCACTGATTTTTTTCAGTGTGCAAACTGAATCATAATGTTAATAGTAAAAACCACAGAATATGTTATGGGCAGCTACCTAGAGCTGCTCAGTCTTAGGTCGTTTTATATAAAAAAGCTGGATCTATCCTTGTACGTCCTTGAAGTCCAGCCTGTTGTTTTGGGCAGCATTAATGCAAGCATAGCTGTGTACTAGTATTTGCCCTAAAAAAAAAGAAGTTAAGAAAAGCCCAGGTTTTATTTGTGTGAAATACAAGGGAATTATTTCACTGAAAGGATGAATTAATGTGCTATTACAATGGTATCATCAATATCTGTAGTTAAACCAGTCCTGTGGTCATTGGTTTTGAGATCATAATTTCCCATTTTTCTGTAAGGGAAGGAGGAACAGGGAGAGAATGTAGTAGATGAAAGAAGCCAAACTGTATTATTGTAGCATTCAAATGGTCAACTTCATAGTCTGTCTTCTAATATGTGTTTTACTTGGCTGGAGGTTTAGTTCTGGTATCTTCTTTTGCTTTGTTTTCTCTCAGTTTTTCAGTTAGATTTCATGGTGTTTTATCACTTGTCAGAGTATAGTTGCTTGACAGAAAATGCTTGGCTCACTGTATTTTTGCTAATGTGAAGGGTGTAGTGTCTATAAATAAAGTGTACTGGCGCGCAGCACTTATTCATACGGTCTTCTGTGCCGCATCTCTGGTTCCTGGAGTATAGAAGTCAGTATCTTGGCCACCTAGCTATTGATTCTACTTTCCCTTATTTTATTATTTTTTATCTTATTCTGGCTGCTTACTTTGTCTTACTCAGGTGATCTGCTGCATTTGAAAGATGTTTGCTTAGTACTCTCCTTTCTGGCTGCGGCCAGTATCAAAGATGTCTAGGAAGGAGTATGAGAGTCATAGTGGTACTGTGTCATAGTGCTCATCCTCCAGACAGGACCTTTTTCGAATTCGAGAGCTGTGAATTTTGTAGTTTTAACTTTCGGGTGTATTTTTGTGTGTGCGCAAAAATTTCTGATCCATTAGTATCAGTTACGCCTCTCTTTCAGTTTTGTGCCTCTACCTACCTTTATAAAAGGTACTAAAAGATTGTGTAACTTGTCGTGTTTTGTGCAGATTGATAATATTCTCCTGTATGCTTGAGTGCTTCGTGAATCTTAAAGGGATTATAATGTGCTGTTGGACTATATTTGAATAAAATTGTAAATGTAGTTTTGTGTTCTTTTGTAATGTTCTGTGTTGTCCTGAGCTGCCTGAGCAATGTGTCCAGCAGTTGTATAGCCTCGGTGGAGAGGTGAGTCGTTTTCTGGTGTCTGAGTAGTAACTTAGTTTTATCAAGTCTGCTTGGAGTATCTCAGCCTCCTTTAGCCTTAGGAAACTTGGGTATTGCTTTCCTAGTTTTAACCAAAACACTGAAATGAGACTCACTTTAGTACATGAGGTTCTTTGGTTGTTTTTGAGAACTCAGTTTGTAACACATCTAACCAGTCTGACAAATGCAAGTATTTTAAAAGGTCTAAAAAGGTATTAAAAAAAAAAAAAAAGGAGGGATGAGCTAAGCCTGAAATGGAAAGTGCTATAGAGTATTTATTAGAGTCTTTATTTGTCAAGTTGATTCTTTCAGTACTACTCAATAAGCTTCCACTTTTGTGGCAGATAGGTTTTTTTTGTTTTAAATAATGCATATTTTAAAGTCACCGAGTTCTGTGGTAAGAGGCAGATTGCACAGTAAATTCTTTTGGAGAGATCAAAACTGTTGGAGCCCTCCGAAGTCCACTTGCAAAGTCTAGATCTCTCGGGTAATTTACGTAGTTTTCACAATTGTAGAGTTGAAAATTAACTCCTCTCAGCTTCCCACTATACCTGTGTCAAACAGAAGTAGTGCAGTTTCACTTGTTATGAGATTAGAAGTGGGCAAAAACTTGTAGGAGTAGTTAGAGCAGGCACAGGAGAGAGGAATTTCTGTTGGAACTGGTTCTGTCTCATCAGATTTAGTCTTTAAATTTGAGGGGCAGGGGAAGAGAAATTGGGGAGTTTTTGATCACCTAACTTGGGCCTATGTTCAAGTACTTCTTAATTTTTTTATTTTTTAGTTTAGTGGAACAGTTCTATTTCTGTTGTCTCTGTAAGGCTTAGTCAAACTGTTTCTATAATTGGGCAAAATAGAATTAGTCTGGGTATCCTTGTCGCCAGTAGGACACTCTTCCGGGCGGTGGAAGGCTGTCTGCTCTGGGTACCCCCTGGGTTCCATCACTTGCGTAGACAGCAGCAGCTGCGCCAGTTACCTGATAGCTGTGAATCTCGCTTGTCGGGCTCTGACGAAGATTTCAAAGAATGTGCTGACATAAGCATACATTGTGTTCAAAGGAAAGATGCTTGGTGCATGCCACAAGATCAGTCCTTTCATACTGATAGTTATGTGAACACAGACAAAGGAAAACTGCCTACTATTTGCTGTTACTAGGCCATGTATCAGTTTTGAGAACATAATGCAAATATCAAGGTGTGTGCTGGTCCTCGGAAAGAACCTATCCTGTCATAGAAAGAAAGGTTAGTTTGGCTTGATCTTTTTTTTACATGCCCACATTTATTTAGCTTTTACCATCTTATTTTCGAGGTGGTTAAGACAGGAGTATCTAGCTAACTTTTTTCCTGCACATTGAAACTAGACTAAAAGGTTTGTAACTCTTCTATGTCTTGCTTCTCTTGACACCTATTTCTTTATGATGATGTATTCCAGCTTTGAAGAATCTGTTTTGTGTTTTAAGATCTTATTGATTTATTAAAGCTTTGTTTCTTTTTAGTTTAGTGCCTTAGTACTGTAGGGTATGAGGATACTCATCATTAAGCCTATTCAGTTTAGGAAAAGTCACTTGTATTTTACACTGGTCAGTGTGCGGTTAGATGAATTGGCAGAGCCAATCTAGCACTTGTTGCTGCTGAAAGAGAATATCCTACTCGCTTCTTTCCTCCCAGTGGCATATTCTTGTGCCAAACTGATGCTTCCTGAACTGGCGAGCCAGTTTTCTGTTAACCCAGCAGAAGATAACCTACTCCTGAGTGACTGGTTTTATTGCTGAGTTAACAAATTATATTAGTTTACTGTGCCAGAGGTAGCTCAAGGATGAGTGTGGGACTACACTGTCAGCCCCATTCCGTAACAGCAGGCAGTGTGCATCTTCAGAGAAATATTTTATGTTAAGTTTTTTCCCAGTCTGATTTAACTGACTTCATATTGCCTGTGTTAACTGTGATGGACACGGAATATTCAGACAGTATAAAGAATAACATAAGTATTTGAGAGGAAGAAATGTAACAGTAATGATAGTTCATATTTGTGTTGTGACTTTTCACATGGGTGGTTGTCCTCACTTCTTAAAGTTCTGACATGGAGCTTTTCATTCCAGTTCTTTCTTAGCACCTTTTTAATACTCTTTGCTGTCTTCCTTGTTTAGCTCTTAAGAGTTTATCTTTTGCAGAAAGGCGTTTGCTGTTTACTCCTTTTCTCATTTGTGAAATCCTGCTTGCTTGAAACTATTCTTCTAGTATTTGAGGGGAATTGCTGAAAATACTTTTCTTTAAAGAAAATTTGAAATAATTCGTGTTTCATTTTCTTATTAAAGATTTGTACAGTGTCTGTTTCCATATGTTGTGTTATTTTCCTGTGTTCTGGAAAGAATTCTTTATATTGAAACTGTCTCTTCAGTTGTGTTTCAGTAGCTTTCGTTAGAAGTTTGCTTTCAGTGGAATTTGCTCCTTGCTTTTAAGCTCTGTGATTGTTTGGTTAGTTACTAAAAAGTTTCAGTATTTTTTTAGCAACTGC